GGACCCTGGGATCCTGACCTGAGCCGAAGGCAGATGCCCAACCGACTGAGCCACCCAGGTCCCCAGGCATGAGCTTATTTTTGTGGTAATGGTCATTTGGGCTTTTTCTCCATTAATTGTCTTTATATATACTTTGCTAATTTCCTTCCTGGATTGTCATTTTTTCTAATCTGAGAAAACAGATAGGCAAAGCTTTCTATACAAGTGCAGTTCATGAGGGTCTAAGACCACCACCCAGGTCTCACCCTGCCACTGGCAGGACAGAAGAGGAGGGACCCAGATTCTATGTGCTTCTGGAAACACCCCCTCTCATTTTTGCTTTCCCCCACACATGCACACCTGTGCACACACACAGAGTCTGGCTCTGCTGTCTCCCTTAAGAACTTCGGGACTAATACAGTGATGCCCTTTATTCTTATCTATGAGAGTCACCACGAGAAGGCCAGGATTTCTAGGTCATCCCTCACCCTTGGCAACCCAATCTCCATTTTGCTCAGTCTATTCCATCTTTTGACCCATCCCATGAAACTGGGATCACCCTTGGAATGTCAGGATCATATAGTAGATCTATTTTTATTTTTTTGAGGAAACTCCATGTTGGTTTCCTTAGTGGTTGGACCAATTCCCATCAACAGTATATAAAGATTCCCTTTTCACCATATCCTCACCAGCACCTGTTGGTCTCTTGTCTTCTTGATGATATCCAGTGTGACAGGTGTGAGGTGATATCTCATTGTGGTTTTGATTTGTAGTTCTCTGCTGATGAGTGATGTTGAGCATCTTTTCATGTACCAGTTGGCCATTTTGATGTCCTCTTTGGAAAAAAGTCATTTAGTTCTTCTGCCCATTTTTTAATCAAATTGTTTGTTTTGTCGAGTTGACTGAGTTCTTTATAGATACTGGATATTAACCTCTTATCTGATATATGGGTTTGCAAAAATTTTGTCCCATTTCATAGGTTGTCTTTTTTAATTGTTTCTTTTACTATGCAGAAGCTTTTGAGTTTGATGTTCCATTTGTTGATTTTTTTTCTTTTGTTGTTTGTGCTTTTGGCATCATGCCCCCAAAATTTTGTTGTTTGTGCTTTTGGCATCATGCCCCCCATATTTTTTTCAAGGAGTTTTATGGTATCAGGTCTTATGTTTAAGTCTTTGATCCATTTCAAGTTAATTTTTGTGAATGGTGTAAAGTAGGGGTGCATTTTCATTGTTCTGCATGTGTTTTGCCAGGAGAAGAACACGTTTCTGCTGACTGGTCTCTTCAAGAGACCACCCGTGGGCCTTTGGTGCTTGTTGGCACAGCAAGACTTCTCCAGTCCATTGACTTCCATCTTTCCCAGGTAAATATTTCCTTCCTTCCCTTTTCCTCAGTCTTCTAGTACATCTTTGCCCCCATTTCACTCTCAGCTGATAGATGATCTTGCTCCCTATTTTATTGAAAAAATTAAGGCAATCAGAAAAAAGTTCCACAAATGCTCAAACCATACTTACTGTCCCTCCTTTGTGTAACTGCATCCCACCTTCCCTCCTAGATGCACTGCCCGTGATGCTAGAGGGGTCAGGTCTCCCCTGGGCCTGGGCACCTGTCTCCTTACACCTGCTGGCGGCACCACTCCAGCAATCCACCCCCTTCATCTGGCCTCACCAGATTCCCCTGTCTTCTGGTCATTCCCATCAGCAAAAAACAGGCTGTGAGTTCTTTCTGAGAAAAACTTTTTAAGAGTTATCTGTAGTCATCATTTCCTCTCTTCTGAGTCTCTTGAATGAACATAGTGGTGAAAGAAACGAAAGAACTTCTTGTATTGAGGTGCATTCCCCACACACCTCCTTGGGCTCGCTCATATCAGGCTCACATCACTCAGGTCAAGGTCTCTAAGCTTGGCTCTCATTTCACTTTCCTGCCAGCCCAGCCACAGTTGCTGTAAATAGCATTTTCACTCAGTTTCTAGGCATCATGGCTCTGCTCTTCCTTCCAGTGTCCTCCATGGGCTCCCGGGCTTGTTCCTTCTCATTTCCCTGACTCTTAGTGTTGGGGTGCTCCAGGCTCCACCTCCTCTGTGTCTACTCTCTCATCCACTGTTCTGGTTTTGCATATATATACCCCTAGTTTGTGTCTCCAGCACGGATTTCTGTCCTGGGTGCCACGGTAGTATCTCCAATGGCCTACACCCCACCTTCCCTGAAAGCCTGACAGGAACCTCGGGCTTCACGCATCAACACTGAGCTCCTGCTTCCCTCTACACCCCTAAGCCCAATCTTCTGAGTCTTTCTCACCTTTTGCTGGCTTAAGCCCCAAACCCTAGAATCATCCTGGACTCCACTTCCCTTTACATCCCTGTCTTGTCGCCTCAGCAGATCCTGTTTTCTCACCTTCGGAACGTACCTGAAATCTACCTGATTCTCATCTCCTGCACTGTTACCACTGGGGCTCAAACCACGTCATCTCCTAGAGCACAACAAGAACCTCCTGGGTTAGTTTCCTGGGGCTGTCATCATAAAGTTCGACGAACTAGGGGACTTAAAACAACAAATTTACTCTCTCCCAGTTTTGGAGGCCGGAAGTATGAAATCAAGGTGTCCACGGGGCTGCATTCCTTTCCAAGGCTCTCGAGCAGGATCCTTCCTTGTTTCTTCCAGCTTCAAGTGGCTTCTGACATTTCCTATGCTTGTGGCCACCTCGTTCGGGTCTCTGCATCTGTCTTCACGTGGCTTCTCCCTGTGTCTCTCTGTGTCTCCTCTCCTCTTCTTGGGCTAAAGAACCCACCACAAGTCCAGGATGATTTCAACTCAAGATCCTTAACTGATTACATCTGCAAAGACTCTATTTCCAAATAAGGTCACATTCTGAGGTTCTAGGGAGGCTGTGCATTTCGGGGGACACTATTCAACCCACCCCCATCTCCTCACAGGGCTCCCCGATTTGCTTCTGGCACCCCCTGGTCTGACTTCAACCCAGCAGCCTGAGCACATCAGTTCTCTATGGAAACCCTGTGAAGGATCCTGTTTCACCCAGGGTAAAGGTCAAAGTCCTAATGGCCTATGAAGCCTTACTCAATCTGGTCCCCTCATCACCCCCTATCTTCTCTCCCACCCCAGCCCTCCCCCACTCTGGCTCCCACCCCTTTGGTTCTGGCAGTGCCCTCTACCTGAACACTTCCTTGAATCTTCGTGTTTGCCAGACACACATAGAACATTTATTATCTACCTTTGCCACTTGCTTCCCTTTCTGGATTGTTCACCACTGCACTTATTTTGCCTAGAACATTGTAGCTGGATAAACGAAGAGGAATCTTCCAAGCTGAAATGGTGTATCTCAAATTAAAGTATCCTGGGCTGTGAATCCTCCCGTTCCAAGAGAGCCAGTTCCAACAGCCCTTCCATGCATTCTAGGTGGAGAAGGGATGGGTCAAAAACTGGATAAAGATGAGTAAGGAAAAGGACAGCAATATACTTGTAGATGTAAAACACGAATTACCAAGGCCGAGTTGGCTGTCAGTAGCAAAAGCCATAGAAAAATGCATGCGTGCCCTGTGACCCAAGTTCTGCTTCTGGGCCTTCACCTTGAGTCATGATGACACACAGTGTTAAGGTACCAGGATGTTCACCAGATTATTCTTTAATAAAACCAAAAAGTTGAACACCATCTAAATGTTCTGTAGTAGGAGATCATTGAAATAAATTGTGTATGGATTTACCATGCCACCAGTAAAAATCCCTATATAATAGCGTGAGAAAATATTTATAACATATCGATGGGAGTAAAATGAAATTTAAACAATGCCTGATGGTATTTTAGGTACATAAACTTAATATGAAAATAAAACAGAACGTGCATCAAAAAAAGAGAACTGGCTTTACAAAATAGTAAAAAAACCAGACAGGTCCGATTAGTAGTATCAGTGGGAGTTCATAGAATATACTAGAAAATCAGCAATTGGATGTTGGCATAATCTTGAACACAGAAACATCATTAGGTTGGCACCAATTTGGAAGAAAACCACCTAACCTGAGGGTCATCACAAGGCACCGGGTTAGACACTAAGCAAACTCACTTGGGATGACAACCCCTGCTTTAGCTGTAGTGATGTGCCCATGCTCACGTTAGGGCCCTTATGGAGGCAGCCTGGTAAGCCCACTCTGGGGCCCCAGGGCACCCTGGAGAAGGTCCCTGGTGGAAACCTGGGTAGACTCAGAAGACGGAACAAAGGAGAGGTTTTGGTCTGAATGAATATCTCCGCTTCGCCTTCCTTCTGAGCTCCTCCCAAGGTCTTTCCAATGTGTTCACCTACTGCTTTCTCTCTGGTTAAATGCATCAGTGTTGGTGGTTCATTTTATTCTGCCCCCTAAACCGATCTGAGCTGCTGCTAGGACTGCTCCCGAGACCAGGACCTGCTTTTGCATTGAATTGAGTTGTAGCAATGGTGACGGTCTAATGCAGTCACCCAGCAGGCTGAGGGGGAGGTGGCCCTGAGCAGGAGGCAGTGTGGGACCCGGGCCTCGAGCTGAAGAGCAGTATGATGCAGTCTGGTTGCTTCTTAAAAATACATACATCAGAAGAAAAAAAAAATACATACATCAGGAAAAAGCCCTGAAATGCAAAGCACCAACCTATGAGCAGACATTGTCTCTGAGTGTGATGATGAAGCTTTTATTTTCTTCTTTTTGTTAACTGTAATGGCTATTTAAAAAAAAAAATGACCATGTGCTGAAGAATGTGGTAGAAATATTTCCAAGAACAATGAAGAGAGACTGAGCAGCACCTGAAACTAATATAACACTGTATGTTAATGGTACTTGAATTAAAAAAAAAAAAAAAAAGCCTGAAAGCTAAAGCATTATAGGGGAAAAAAGAAGGAAAGAAAAAAGAAAAGAAGGAAAGAATGAGAGAGTGAGGGAGAGAGTAAGGGAGGAAGGGAAGAGGGAAAGAAGGAAAGAGAAAAGGAGCGAGAGAGAGAGAGAGAGGGAGGGAGGGAGGGGGAAGGAAGGGGGAGAGGACTGAGCATGGAAAACAACAGGAGAAAAAACCTAATGGGTCATTACAGCAAACGTGTGAGTGAGGCCAGGCTTTTGTTTAGAGAAAGCTCATATGGTGTGGAAGATAGCAGACCTGGTTTGTGAAATCATCCCGGGGGCTTTGTCGTGCTCTTCTTGGTCTTAGGAGAGACCCAAGAGGGCTCAGCGAAGCACAACTAATAATAGAATTAAGAAGATGAAAGCAATTTGGATTATTTAGCCTAAAAGAAATTAGGGTTTAAAAACTGTCTTAAGAGGTTCTAGATGAAAACACTGATCAATTGCGAACCATTTTCACAGAGGATAGAAGAAGAAATGGCCTTAAATTGATTAAGAGAGCTTGAAGAAGAGATCCTTGCCAGGGAGGCTGATGATAGCTTGGCATGGGCTGATAGTGGGCTAGCTCAGTGCTGGGAGGACTGAATATAAGAAACACCATCTGTCCTAGAAGATCCAGGGACACTTTCCAGAAGGTTCCTTGAAGTTCCAATCCTGTGATGTCTTGATGAAGGTATAAACTCACCTAATCTGTTCCTGAATGAGCTATCCTGGAACTCGACGTGTCTGTATTCTTGGCCAGGACTGGTCTTGGGAGAGCTGGTAGCCATCTGTGTGATGGGAGGGCTGGCTGCCAAAATACCATTCCTACCGCTGAGTCATGCTGTCTGAAATCCTACCAGGTGACAATCATTCTTTGGTCATCAAGAGCCCAATGGAGTGTGAGTGATGCCCTTATGGTTTTCTTTTTTTCTTTCTTTTCTTAAGTTCCAGAGGGAATAAGTGTGGAGGTTTTGAGATAGCCAGCTTAGAATTTTCTCTCTTTAGGGATTGTTAAGAAAAATTATCCAAAACTTAGAAATAAGGCAAAGGGGCATGTCCTCTCAGTGTCATACTGAGGCACTGTTTGACATGCTCACCCAAGGATTATTTAATTCTTGAGAATATACTTGTGTTTGACTAAGCCCAGAAACAGTAGAGTTACATGTTAACTTGTCGATTTCTGTCCCTTAGAAAAAATAACCACAAAGGTTATGGTTTTATTCCCATGTAGGCATTAACCAGTTTTGTACCTAACTGAGCAGTGATTCTAACATTCTGTTTTGGGTCTAAAGGTCGTCACTTCTGCAAATGCTCTTGGAACCATCTTTCTTATCGTACTGGTTTGCTCATTAATAAGTTAAATACATTTTGGACACATGTATATATTTGTGTGAGAGTCATGAGTTTAACTTTTTGAAAATTATGCTTTGATAGGAAGGAGATGAGATAACTGTAGCACAGTAGCTTTAAAGAGCACGACGTTGATTCTCATCTGGATAGAGGTTTGTATGTCATTCCTTGAAAGAGAGGGATTCCTTAATTCTCAGGTAATCCATGATTAGCCAGCCCTTGGTGAGCAAGAGGGAATTGGATTTTTTCTAACCTTAACAGAGGTGTTGGGCTTTTTTTGTTTTTGATTTTTTGATTTTTTTGTTTATTGTTTTTTGTTTGGTTTTTGTTTTTGCTTTTGTTTTTGCTGAGAGCTTTGGGTGAAGCCAGCACCACCAGAGTGAAAAGGGATTCTGAGTGATAGAATGCTTAGGATTCTGATGGGTGCACCTGCCACATTGGAGAGCAAGATTTCAGAGGCAGAGGGATTCAGGGGAAGTCCAGGCCCTGGCACCATCATGGGAGAAGGTGACTGAACCTCACCGGAATACAGGAGTTAAGGCAGAGAGTGGCTGGGAGCCAAAGGAGGCACCTGTGGGAATGTGGAACCCCTCGCTCATGGCGACAGACTCTGGTGGTGGCAGCAGTGCCACCTGCCCAGTGATGCCTGGTGACCAAAGAAGCCAGTGGTTTAGACCATTCCGGGGATAAGAGGCACAAATGGAGAAGTCGGCCGTGAGAGGCCCAATCATCATGAAAATTATTTGGGTGACACATGGGCAGAGTGTCTACCTGAGGTTGCTGCCTATCCTGTCCTAAGACGCAGAGACACAGGTAAACCTTGGATGCCAACCTCTCTGGTGTTGACATCGCATTCTAGGCCTTTCTCGGAAAACAGCCCCTTCTGTCTCAAAAGGGTCCACAGATGGGGCAAGCTGAGGACATCTTCCCAAGCCATAGAAAGCAACACCCAGCCCTGGGAAACTTTGGACCTGCAGGGCTATATTTCACTCTTGGATGGCAGTCTGCAGATTCTTAAACTCACTCCCTAGCTCCTACCCTGGGGCTGCTATTCTGCTCCTGTTCAAGGCTCAAATGCCACCTCATGCTGCTGGTCCCAACCGGGGAGTCTGAGCCCCTCAGAGGCATCTCCCAGATAAAACCCAACACCACAATTCCTCACACTCATTGTATGGAGTGGTCTCACTCCACCGGGCTCTGTCAAAGCTGCAAATTCCAGATTTCTCTCTCTTGTGTTTTTGAACCTATTTGCTTTTGATTATGGTTTGGTTTTGAAAGGAAGAGTCACACACGATCCAGCTCCCTGTTTTCTTTCTCAGATGGAGTAGTAAAGCTTATTTATAGTGGAACTGTTTTGTTTTTTTTTTTTCCCATTATGGCATATTTAATTTTATTACTCTATTGCCTTGCACTTTGAATTACATAGGGGAAGCAATGCATAAAAGAATATTCCGTTGGTTTTCTTTTTTTCCCCTCGTGTAGTTGATTGTGGAAAAAAGGATGTAGCATCCTATTAGTCATCCTGTACCATGATGATTTTTTTGCCTGTGACCAACAAAATTACATTTTACACTTGAATGAACTCTCTAAATGGACCCTTTTCTTCAACATATGTGGACATAAGATTCAAAGTATGGCCAACCCCATGCATCACATCCAAAGTCCATTTCAGCTGTGGTTTATGATTCTCTCCAGGAATGCAATATGCTGCAGAGCACCATGGTTTGGGCTTCTGATGAGAAGTTTGAGCATGCTATTTATTTTGTTCTTCTGTCTTTCTATTCAAACCATTTGAAAAGATCACTGAACTCTAGGTAATTTGGGACAGCCTTTGGTTACAGTCACCTTGGCTCCTTAGCTTATTTCTCCATCACTCTGGTCTTTGCTTTCTTAGGCTTGGAAAAAGGACAAGGAAAATCTCTCTCTTTGGAACCAGCGAGGTTCCTTAATTGCTCAAATGGGCTTCTGAAAGATATGGTTGTATTTCACGTGAAGCTTTTTCACATGTTCTAAAGTCTTAGGTTTGAATCCACGTTTCTTACCATTTTTGACCATGTTTTCTGACTATGTTTTCTATCATGTTAGACCAAGTAGGTACTTCAATGAGATGCTTCTACCTCTGTTGTTTCGTTTCTAGGAGAGAACACGGAATCCGAGGGGAAGGTATTTGCCATGCTCGAAATCCCCACAAATTAGGAGAAAGACTGATCGAACCCTATTGTTCTGTCTCAATTTGTACAAATGAAAGGAAAGTGGATTTTTAACAACTTGTGATGCTCTCCAATAAAGAGGTGGCAATGCTGAATATCCCAATTTTCTGTGTTCATTGGCCCCTCAGTTGCTTTGGAAAGCATCCTACGGATATGGAGAAATCAGAACCTTGGTATACTGCTGATAGGAATGTAAAATGGTGCATCTGTTTTGGAAAACAGTCTGGCAGTTCCTCAAAAAGTTAGACATAGAGTTACCATGTGACCCAGCAATCCCACTCCTATATATGTATATAAATCCAGGAAAACTGAAAAACGTTTGTCCACACAAAACTTATACATGAAGGTCCATAGTAGCATTATTCATAATAGTCAAAATGTAGAAACAACCCAAATGTCTATCAACCAATGACTGGATAAATAACATGATTATATCCATACAGTGGAATATTATTTGGCAGTAAAGAGGAATTCTAACAAGATATTTAAACCAAAAATAAAAATAAATCATTAGGGCAATTTTTTACTTCAAATCAAGGAAGGATTTATATCTAAACATAATAATAATGATGATGCTTGTTTGTTTATTATAGTTACTAATCTGCATATCTCATGATAACCTCCAAAAATAGTTTTTATCATTCCCATTTTCAGACAAGGAAACTGAGGTTCAAAGAAATGTGATACTTTCTGAAGTCTCCCAGTCGTTCTGTGTGCCAAGTCTGGCCTTCTTACAGTTTCTGAAATGTGTGATGCCCTTGACCTCAGGCTGGCAGAGTAAGTTGGGGTTAGGGGTGGAAAGAACCCACTGCAGTGTGGTTTTCGTGTATTCCAACACATATTTCTTCAGGTGAAGAAGCAGGCTGCATAGACACATGCAGTTCTCCATAGTTCTTCATAGTACACTTCTAGTCGGCAATCGGAGAAAAGATTCAGTAGTTTTGCACCTGCACCCCAATAATAAATGGGGGGACAACCCTGAATTCATGGATAAAAGGAAACTTTCTAATATATTAGTTCAGTCATTCCAGTTTCGCATGGGTAATTCTTTTCCCATCCGTGGCTTGGTCTGGGTCAGAAGCTAGCTTCTTGGGTCCACGGGTGGAGTTCTTCTAGTCCGGTTTCAGGAGCCAAGTGGCTCCTGGTAGGTCCTGGGTTCACGCCAGTGGTTCCTTCCAGCCACCAGCCTCCCCCGGCACAGCAGCCTGAGTTCCTCTGCCTGTACGGACCCCAGTCCTGGCCCCGATGTCCCTGGCCTGTTTGAAGGGTTTGTTCCTGTCGGACTCTGCCAGGCTTTGTACCGTTCCTGACACTTTAGCAGTAGCTTGAGTGCTTTGTGTCACCTCTTTTTCTTCGGGCCTGTTTGCTTTTGAGCTCAGCTGTGTAACAAAATTCTGTTGTATTTTATTCAGTATTTCCATTCATTTGGAGCAGGACATCTTTCCTCATCATCTCAGTCTTCCATGTTGACCAGAATGTTTACATTTTGACTGTTTCTTTTGTGGCCTTATTGTTATGGACTGAATGTTTGCATCCCCCCCCAAATGCAGATGTTGAAGCCTCATCCCCAAGGTGGGGGTGTGAGGAGGCGGGGCTTTGGTGGGGGGGTTAGGGTGGAGCCCTCTCCTAATCTCCTTCACCCTATTTAAAGCTATTGGTCTTAAATTCCACTTTGTCTGATCTTCGCATTGCCTCCACTCTCATTTTGTTTATTCTTGCCTGATATAGTTTCCCATTTCTTTCTTTCCAAGCTTTCTTTGTCATTTCATTTGGCTGTTTTTCATAAATAGCATGTAACAAATAGTTCTTTAAAACTCTATTTCAGATTGTGTCGTTCAGTGGAGGAATTTAATCGAGTCCTATTTATTGAGATGTCTGATGTCCTTGGTCTTCTTTTTTCTTTCTCGTTTTTTTTTAATGCATGATATTGGCCAGGCAGGGGGATCTTGGATCACAGCCTTACCTCTCAAAAGCCTTAAGCCTGGCTCTACTGCCTCAGTGTTCCAGGTGTTTCCAGTGAGGAATCTGGTGTCATTCGAATTCTCTTCCCTATGTAAATAATTTGTTTTCATTCTCAGGTAGCTGGCATTTGGGAATTTACCAGATTACATCCAGGTGTGACTCTTTTTTTGCTTTTCAAATTGTCATTATTAATCTTGCTTGGTACTTGAGTTTACTTCTGGTCCAGAAATTGTTCTTTATTCAGGTAAGGAGTATTCTGCTTGTTTTTCAAGTTTGCGTCTCCATGTCATTTTTCTCGAACTCCTAATGTTCAATAGCCAATATTCACCCAGTATGCAGTATTCTTGAATCTATACTCCCTACCTCTTCTGCTTCATTTATGATTTTCATTTCATTGAGTTTTCAAGCTCTGAGATCAGTCAGTTCATTGGTCATTCAGATAAACTTGTGCACCATTATGAGAAAGTTCAGGATGGAGGGATGACTGTTAGCATGCTGCACTTTTTATGCTAGTTTGCTTGGGAATGGTTTACACCTGGAAAGCAGCAGGATCCCAAACCTCTTGATGGGGAGACTGCCTCAGTCAGGGGTTAGTTTCAGACTCCCAGGCTGACCCCAGATGGCATTTCAGCCTGCCAGATCCCAGGATGATTCCGGCTTCTAAAGGAAGTAGCAGTGCTGATGGTTTTTGAAGTTGAGTTTATTCTTTGGCCCAGTTGGGTATTTCCTGGAATCACTTCTTTTTTCCCTTTGTACCCTGTTTACGGGCCCACCCACTTGCTCTCATCACCCTGACGTGGGTCCTGGGTATTGTTATCATTTGTCCCCGGGTCAGCTTCCTCATGAGCCTGTGAGTTCCATTTACCTTCCCCCCTCAGTCAGCTCAGGCTGCTGTAACAGAGGACCACAGGCTGGGGAGTTTAAACAACAGAAATTTATGTCTCAGTTCTGGAAGCTGGAAGTCCAAGATCAAGGTGTCATCAGGTTTGGTTTCTTTTGCGGCCTCTCCTTGGCTTGCAGGTAGCCATCTCTTTGTTGTGTCCCCACGAGGTCTTTCCTTTGTGTGTGTACATTCCTGGTGTCTCTTTGTATGTCCAAATTTTCTCTTCTTCTAAGGACACCCATCAGATTGGATCAGGGCCCACCCTAATGACCTCATTTAAACTCAATTAACTTTTTAAAGGTCCTGTCTTCAAATATAGTCATATTCTGAGGTACTGAAGATTAAGGGTTCAACAGGTGAATTTGGGGGACACAGTTTAGTCCGTAACACACTAGCTTGGTGTAGGCTTTGTTGATAGATGTTCAACTAACCAAGTAAAGGTTAGTTGAGAGCCTGAATGAAAGTCCTCCATTTGTTCTTTAATCATTTTGACTTTCAAGCAGGTTGTGTTGCATAGGATGGCACCATATGCTCTTTTAAGATAAATTAAGTGAACTATCTCTTTACTGTCTTTTTTTATCCTTAGCCAGTAATATTTTGTGTAAGTAACTCTATAGTAGTGTGAATACATGGTCCTTCCTCCACCCCCCCCCCCTGCAAAATATCCTTCTATTGCATGGTAAAGAAAAAAGTTCAGTACCTTAGGGCAGATTCAATCCACAGCCTCCGCACTGTATTTCTCGCAACAGGCCTATGTGTGGTTTGTCTGTGGGGATTTGAATCTGTGTTATTGCATACTGGATTTACCTGCCTTGGGAATTCAGTTCTTTTTTCTTTCTTAGCACTTTCTCTGTCTCATCATATTTATTTCCATGCTCTGCCCCAAGCTCTGACAAACTTGAATTTTTCAAAAAGCACAGAGATATGCATTATACTGATTATGGCAGTTATTTGTGGTCTTTCTAGTTTATAATAATGAAAAGCTGGAATTAAAATTTTTTTCCTTTGGCTATTTTATTCTTTTGCAGTCTTCATTTTTATATTTTGTTTTTGGTCTTTTCATTGAGTTTTTGATCTCTGAAATAGCAATTTAAAATAGCTATCCAATGGTATATGTATCCACAACAGAGTTTGTTGCCAAGCATACAAAATGAATGGGTTCCTTATTCAAATGTTAAATGCCTACATACAGAGTCTATGTATAGAACTGAGATCGAGATCTGGAATTGGATTCTACAATGGATATCATCAGGATGACAGCTTCCAGTGGACTTAGGATTTCATTGAATTTAATAGTCCATCAATGCTATCTAATAAAACAATGTGATTCTTCTCAGTGAGTGGTCTCAAGAGCCAAGGGAAGTTCATGTCTTGGCCACTCTGAACTACTTGCTGTGACCCACACTTTCCACACTGGTTCTTTTCTGGCTCATGAGCATGACTTTCCATCTGCTAAGAACACTCTTCCTCTCTTGACCACTGGGAAGCTGTCCCTGATCCCAAACTAGCCTAGATGCTCTCTAAGGGCTTCCAAAGATCCTGAGCATGTATATGCTGATTTGGAAGTGACTGTTGATATGTCTGTCCCTCCTTTTTGGCTAAAGGTCCTTTCTGTGCCATGGATGTCTTTGGAAGCTAATGAGGCCTATGAATCATATCTTAGAATCATTTTTTAAATGTATAAATTAAAACACATTGAGTTCTGCTTCAGGGCAAGATGGAATAAGCACATTCCACTCTGTCTCCAAGCAGATGCTGCTCTAGGAGTTGGTAGAATGGTGAAGACAGAATCTGAAGTACCCCTGAACTGGTGGTGAGATATCATTTTCCCTTTCCAAAACCATCCAGCCTGGATTCAGCACAGCCCAAAACCCAGATGTACGCACTGGTGCCAATAGAGCCCCAAGAGAAGCACTACAGGGAGCAGAAAGGAGGTCTTCTAATGTTTAGAAGGAGTGGAGAAATCCCCTATATAGTTTTGTTTTTTTCTCCTCTCCATTCTCTTGCAACTCAGCCCCCCAAGCAATCCTATGGAGTCAGGGGCATGAGAGCTCTCAGAAGCCTAAAACTGAGGGAGGAAAGTCTTACCTCTGATCAGAGGAACTGTGGCCCCAACAGCATGGGGAAGCAAACCCCCCGAGTTTTTTTTTTTTTCTCTGGGTCCTCCCACCGTTCGTCCCTGGGTGCAGATATAGTTATGGGACATGCATAGAAGAGCAGGCTAAGTAAAGCCCCAGATTTCTGGCCAGAGGACCAAAAAGTTGAGCCTCTGGGAACTGGAAAGTACCAGAGAGAGGGAAGAGTTAGAGAAAGCAACCTCATGAAGTTGTTAATAAACTTTTGGGCTCACCCCTGAGATTCACAAGAATAGACCTGACCCTAAATAGCATTGCTTTTGAGAACTGAACTACAAATAAGATCATTGCCCAGGTTATGGACTGGCCACCTACTAATGTGCACAGAGATAGATCTGAAGTCATGGAAAACAGAACCCATAGAAGACTGGTTGGAACTTGTGGCCTGAATTGAAGCTGGAAGATTCTCTGTTTAAAAAAAAAAATAAAAAAAATCAATGCTCTCCATAGGATTTGGTCTAGAGTCCTAGAGTCTTGTAAAATAATCATCAAATATCCAGGATACAGTTAAAAATTACTCAGCACATATGAAGAATTGGGAGGAATCTGTTTGTATGGGAAAAGACAGTCAACAGAAGCCAATGCTTAGGTGACACAGAATTTAAAACAGCTGTTATAAAATACCCCAACATGTAAGGGCAAGTATTCTTAAAATGAATTAAAAGATAAGAGATGTAAGATATAAAGAAGGGCTGAAAGGAGACTTTAGAATGGAAAAATACTATAACTGAAATAAAAATCTCACTGTATAGGCTCATTAGCAGAATGGGGATGACAGAGGAAAGGGAAAATGATATCTCACCACCAGTTCAGGGGTACTTCAGATTCTGTCTTCACCATTCTACCAACTCCTAGAGCAGCGAATTTCAATATAGACCAATAGGAATTATAAAATCTGAATCATACAGAGAAAAAATATTAAAAATAAAAAAGAACAGAGCTTCCTCAACCTGTGGGAAAACACCAAAATGTCTATCTTTTCATAGGAGTCCTAGAAAGAAAAGATGTGGTGTACAGAAAATGTTTGAAGAAACAATGGCTGAAAACTTGCCAAATTTGGAGAAAGACATAAGCCTACAGACTCAAGAAGTCTAGGAAACTCCAAATGAGATAAACCAAAGAAATCCACACCCAGACACATCATTATCAAACTGCTGAAAACTGAAGGAAAAATATATTTAAAGATTTTTATTTATTTATTTTTGTGAGAGAGAGAGAGTGAGCATGAGTGGGGGGAGGGGCAGAGGGAGAAGCAGACTCCCCACCAAGGTGGGAGCCCAATGTGGGACTCGATCCCAGGACCCTGGGATCATGACTTGAGACAAAGGCAGACACTTAACCAACTGAGCCACCCAAGCACCCTATTTAAAGCAGCCAGAGAAAAACTACACATTAACTTATAGAGGAGTGTGATTTAAATAGCCATAGATTTCTCCACAAAGAAACAGAACATTTTTAAAGAACATTTTATTTATTTTTTTTAATTTTTTTTTAAAGATTTTATTTATTTATTTGACAGAGAGAGAGATAGCGAGAGCAGGAACACAAGCAGGGGGAGTGGGAGAGGGAGAAGAAGGCTTCCTGCTGAGCAGGGAGCCCGATGTGGGACTCGATCCCAGGACCCTGGGATCATGACCTGAGCCGAAGGCAGACACTTAACGACCAAGCCACCCAGGCTCCCTTAAAGAACATTTTAAAAGAACTGTCGACCCATAATTCTATATCCCATAAAAATTCCCTTCAGAAATGAAGATGAAATAAAGACATTCTCAGGTGACGGGAAACTAAGAGACTTTGGTATCACCAACTCTATTACTAAAGGAATTCCTTCAGACAGATGGTAAATGACACCAAAAGGCAAGCTGAAACAACAAGAATTAAGAAAAAAAACAACAGAAATGGTGAATACCTGGGTAAATATAATACTCTTCATCTTTTAAGTTTTTTAAGATATATTTTGGTTAAAAACAAAAATTATAACATTGTTTAGTGGGATTTTGAGTGTATGTTGATGTAACAAATACAACAACCCAACATGAGGGAGGGAAGATAAGGGAATGTATGTGGTGTTAATATATCACTTGAAGTGGTAGATACTGACTTTATATAGACTATGAAAAGTTAAATATGTATATTTTAATCCCTAGAACAAACACTTAAACATTACACAAAGAGATACATAGTAAAAATGCAATAGATAAATTAAAATAGAAAACTAAAAAATGTTTAAAAGAGAAAAGAAACTAAAAGAAAAGGGAAAAGCCAGAAACTAAAAATAGACAAGCAGAAAACAAATAATAAAATGGTAGCTATATCCAAAGATATAAGTAATTACATTAAATGTAAATGCACTAAAGACACTAATTAAAGCACAGGTTGTCAGAACAGATTTTTAAAAATGACTCAATTATATTTTGTCTATAAGAAAAACTCACTTCAAATATAATGACCTAGGTAGTGTAAAAACAAAAGATGGAAAATATATATCACTAATCAGAAGAAAGCTGTGGTGGCTGCAGTAATATCAGACAAAGCAGACGTCAGAGCAAAGAATACAAAGGGGCAATACCTAATGACAAAAAGAGTAATTTATCAAGAAGATGCATAATCCTAAATTTGTTTACCAAATAAAAGAGCTTGAAAATACATGAAGCAAAAACTAACAACTGAAAGAAGAGATAGACAAATCCACAATAATAGCTAGGACTTCAACATTCCTCTCTTGGTCATCAGTAGAACTAGCAGACAGAAAGCTGACAAGGGGTATATACTATAAATTACTGGTGTGAATTGACATTTACAGAATACTACACCCCAAAACAGCACAATACATATTCTTCTCACGTATACATGGAACTGTCACCAAGATAAATTATATCCTGTGTCATAATAAAAATTTTTAAACAAATTTAGGGAATTGAAATCATGCCAAGTATGTTCTCTGACTATAATGGAATTAGACTGGAAGTCAATAACAGGATGATAACAGGAAAAATTCCAGACCCTTGGAAATAAAACAGTACTCTTCTAAATAATCCATGAGTCAAAAAGGAAGTCTCAGGGAAATTAGAAAATATTTGAATTGAATGAATATGAAAATATGTATCAAAACTTGTGAGATGCAGATAAAGCAGTGCTTAGAGGGAAATTTACACAATTAAAATGCTCATACTTGAAATGAGAAAGCTATCAAACCAATAATCTAGCTTAAGAAATTAGAAAAAGAAGAGCAAAATAAACCAAAACAAGCAGAAGAAAAGGAATAATAGAAATAAGAACACAAGTTAATCAAATTGAAAACAATTTCAAAACCAAAACTTGGTTCTTTGTGAAGATTAATAAAATTGATAAATCTCAAATGAGAATTCTAGAAAGAGAGAGAACACAAATGACCAATATCAAGGATGAAAAATGAGTTATCACTACAAACTCTGTTCATAAATTCAACAATTGAGATAAAATGGACAAATTCTGCAAAAAAACACAAACTACCAAATGTCCCCTGAGATGAAATATAGATGAGTAGCCCTAAAACTGTTTTTCAAAATGAGTTTGTAGTTAGAAACCTTCTGTTTTCTAAAATCTCCATGCTCAGATCATTCTAGCAAATTCTACAAAATACTGCTAGTGATGGTTCACACTAGCAAATTCTACCAAATATTTAAAGAAAAAATACAACAAATTCTACACAGTCTCTTCCGGAACATAGAAGGGGAGGTAACACTTCTCAAATAATAAGGCCAGCATTAGCTTGATACTGAAGCCAAACAAAGATGGTACAACAAAAGCAGAGTACAGAGCAATACCCCTCATGAACACAGATGAAAAAATTCTAAACAAAATATTGGCAAATATCTAGCATACATAAGCACATGAAGAGCTGTTCAACATCATTGACCATTAAAAGCAATGCAAGTTAAATCCTGATGAGATATAACTACATGCCCAGAATGGCAAAATAGGATGCTGAAAATAAAAAAAAAATACTGGCAATACCAAGTGCTCATGACAATGCAGAGCAATTGGAACTTTCATACATTCCCAGTGGGAATGCCAAATGGCACAGCCCCTCTGGAAAACCACTTGGTGGTTTCTTATAAAACCAAAGACTTACCTATGATCCAACAGTCCTACTCCTGGGTGTTTTCCCAAGTGAACTGAAAACTTAGGTTCCACAAAAATCTACCTGAGTGTTTATAGCAGCTCTGTTCATATTCATCAATATCTGGAAACAATCCAAATGTCTTTCAATAGGTGAATGTGTAAGTAAACTGGGGTACATCCCTACAGTGGAATACAACTCAGTTTAGCAATAAAAAGGATGAACTATTGACACACATAACAACTTGGATGAATCTCAAAGGTGTTATGCTGAAAGAAGCCAATCTTGAAAGTTCTATATACTGTATAATTCCATTTATATGAACTTTTTGAAAAAATAAAACTATAATGACAGAGGCAGATCAGTCTTTTCCAGGGGTGAGAGGTTAGTGAAGAAAATGTTTTGTTATTTTTTCCCCACCCAAGTTCACACACCACTTGGGGAAGAGGGTCTGTGGGCCCCAAGTTAAAAAACCCATCCTATGCTATATATTATATAGAAATTGTCTTTTTTGTTTGTTCTTCTATGTCCTGTGCCTACTAGAGTGGACCAACTTATGGTAGGCACTCAATTATCTGGTTAATAGAATAAATGAGGCACCTGGGTGGCTCAGTCGGTTAAGCATCTGCCTTTGGCTCTGGTTATGATCTCAGGGTCCTGGGATGGAGCCCCACGTTGGGTTCTCTGCTCAGCAGGGAGTCTGCTTCTCCCTCTATGCTCTCCTTCTCTCTCAAATAAATAAAGTCTTTTTAAAAAAAGAGAATAAATGAATGAACAATTACGAAAGGACAAACATATAACAATATATTGAGAGACTCCAGAGACTTGAAGAAAAATGGACCCATTTTGTTTAACCCAATGTATGATCACTGTTCATAATTATGAATTGGACTGTCTCTAATAACTCCTCTAACTGTACTTTTCTGGTTGGGCCACTGACCAAGTTTTGTCTGGTGTTGTGGAACCTGCACTGTTGCTGAGCATCTCTTGTTTCCATCCTGTAGAGGGAACACAATTAAGTCCTTTGTCAGAGTTATACAGCTAGGGGCGCTTGGGCGGCTCAGTTGGTTAAGAGACTGCCTTCGGCTCAGATCATGATCCTGGAGTCCTGGGATTGAGTCCCGCATCGGGCTCCCTGCTTGGCAGGGAGTCTGCTTCTCCCTCTGACCCTCCCCCCTCTCATGTGCTCTCTCTCTCTCTCCTTCTCTCTCTCTCAAATAAATAAATAAAATCTTAAAAAAAAAAAAAGAATTATACAGCTTGTTGTCATCAAAGATGATAGATAACTGTCCTAAAGGTACACATTGCAATTTGTGTTTGAGATTTCTCAGGCCCTGTAGGACAGGATTTGGTAGGTGCAGAGCTGAGGCCATAACGAGATTCTGTCAATGGGTGTCATCCAGGCTTAGCAAGGAGTCCAGGGTGAAGGAGCAGAAGTGGGCAAGCACAGCAGGGCACTTTGCATGAGAGGGCATCAATGGGAAATTGATGGGGCCCCATAAACTAAAGTTGGTGTTAGAACCAGAGAAGCCCTCCACACCCCCAGCAGTAGTAAGAGCCGGTGAGAACAATCACCAGAAGGTTCTGGAAGAGTTGCACAAACCTAATGAGTTGCTACACTTTACTGACCCTGTCATGTACCAGCAGTCTCCTTGGTGGTCCTGGCAGGGCATTCCAGACCTGAATAAAAGATTGGAAAAGGCTAATATCTTATTTCATTAAGTCAAGTCAAGCCATTTTTACTTCTGTGAGCAAATGTGGTGGTTGGTGCTCAGTGACATTGCTGGATGTAAGATCCACCATTATTTTATATAAGAAAGGAAAAACAGGGGCGCCTGGGTGGCTCAGTTGGTTAAGCGACTGCTTTCGGCTCAGGTCATGATCCTGGAGTCCTGGGATCGAGTCCCGCATCGGGCTCCCAGCTCAGCGGTGAGCCTGCCTCTCCCTCTGACCTTCTCCCCTCTCATGCTGTTTCTCTCTCGCTCGCTCTCTAATACATAAATAAATAAAATCTTTAAAAAAAAAAAAAAAAAAGAAAGGAAAAACACTCAGTAGACTGACGGGTGCCTTTAACAACAGTCCTGACTGACCTATGAATCAATCACAGCAGAGTTTTTTGAAATTAATCTTCATCTCTTCTGAGAAATTTAGCAAGAAACAGATATCTCGGTGACAGAAAGTAACACAGCTTGCCTGTCTTTGTTGGTATCTTCCTTTCTGAGGTTTCTAAGGCACTTGGTTGTTCCTTTGCAAGAAAACATGGACTTAATGATCATTCCTTTGTGACAAATATTCGTTACTAATACCACATTTACATCCTACTGTTTGGCTTCTGTGCCTTTCTGAGTACAAAATAGCTTGTCATTTCAATGCTGAATTATGGTGAAATTTTTTTTTGGAGAACATTTCTAAATGGCAGTTAAGCTCTCGGGTTAAACTAACAGATGCACATGCCTCACAATCGAAGTGAGGACAGTGCGAGAAGCTACGACCAAGTGGACACAGAAACAGAGGCAAAGGCAGCGATATCATGACCACCACCACTTAGATCAACGGCTAAGGCACTGTTGACTGAGATGCATCTGGATTCCAGAGATGTTACATTGTGAAAAACTGTGCATCTTAGAATCAGTAGAATACAATGATTCTGTCAGATTCCATGATCTGGGAGAGAGTTCTGTATCCAAGATGTGTTTCTTCGATGTCCTCTGTTTGCCGGGGAAACTTCTGGGCCTACAGTGGGAAGCCAGCTAGACAATTTCCTTGACTGCATGGAGCTCACACTGAGTAGGGAGAACATGTGATACATGAATAACCAGAAAAGTAATCCATTGTTTTCAGTGCAGTGAAAGAAACCGATGGAGCCGGGATAGAGCCTCAGGGAGAGTAGGGTCCAGGGTGTGTCGTGCATTTCTGATAAGTCCTCTCCAATCCTGCTGATTTCCAACTGAGTGGACATTTGGATTTTGGTCTCTGAGAGTCACTGAGAGCCTGCAGGGTGATTGCCTGCCAAGGTTTACCCAGGACAGAGGGGTTTCCTGGGATATGGGAATGGTAGTCCGGACACGGGCAGTCCCAGCCACACCGGCACAGTTGGTCTCCCTACAGGGTTCTAACTCAGTTTCTTTTTGGTTTAATATTTGCATTACTATCTCCATATCTAGTGAAGTTTGATACTAAATGTACAACTGTGACTTATTTTCTTCTACTTCCGTCTCTTCTATTTTCATAAAAAGAGGTTAATTTGATAGATAGGACTAAAATCTTATAATCCCCAAAGGCATTCAGTCAGTCAACAGCACTGACTTAAGCTCCTACCTCAGGTCCTGGGGGTGCTGCGGTGATGGGGTGAGGTGGCCGCGAGGAGGAAGAGCGCCTGTCTGCAGATGGCTGGAGGAAGGTAGGGAGCATCCACCAAGGACTCCAGGAGTTGAGAGGAGGTGGGTGTCTGATGATGCACAGGTGAGGAGGACAGGGGAAGCTGCCCTCTGTTCGTAATTTTCTTTTACTTTAGATGAACAATACGCACCAAAGGCTTCAAAGAACAGCAATTTCCTTTGCCTTTGAAATGAATTAAGGGCAAAAACAACGCCATGCTTTCATGTTAGGAATCATTTTGGTAACGTAGTGTGGCTTTCTGTTTTGTAACTAAAAGACTGGCTGAACTCTGGACTGCAAATGCTTTCATGACTATATGAAATATATACTTTTTTCTCTTTGAACCAATGGAACGCATATTCTTGGCTTTCCCTTCAAGCAAGGGGCCCCCACGTGGAGAAGCCATTTTCACTTCTGTGAGCAAATGTGGTGGTTGGTGTTCAGTGACATTGCCGTCCTTATTAGGGTTCGCAAGCCCTCAGGGAACTTCGTGTTTGATCTCTGCCTTCAGCTGTGTGATTCCTTTTCTTGCCCCTTGCCCCTCTCCATTTCATATCCGCCTCATATCTCTTAAACACATAGTTCCTTCTTTAATGGCTCATTGCACTGAATGCCGTGGTCAGTCTCAGAAGCGCTGTCATCTGAACAAAACCCCCAACTCTCCACCTGATCACTGTTGTTTAGTATTATTATTTTTTTAAATATGATAAAGTTGTCATATGGAAATGGGGGCCTTGATTCCTTAACCTCTTTGCCAAAACTAGCTCACATATGGCCAGGAAATAGAATGTAGGTATGAGAATGTGTGTGTGTACACGCTCACGTGTGCGTGTATGCATGCACTTGACGTAGTATGAAACCAAAAAGACTTAAAGTTCAGTAAAATTGGTAATCGATTTTTAAATGAGGTATGTTTTACGGGTTGATGTTATTTGAAAGCTGAACAGCTGATGTCAAAAATAGACTTCCCATTCTTTCCAAAGTGTGGCAAAAATAACCACATGCCTTTCTTGGCCTCCCGGCTCTCACCCCAGAGGGTTTTCTTGTATAGGAACCAACAATGCCTTGGATGGAAACTCGGGATAGGCTAGTCATTATTTTAAGATTTAGGAGATTGCAGATTCTTGGCAGACTTTGGTTGTTTTTCTAGAGTAGTAGGCAAGTAGTTGGACAAAAAAGCAAGAAGCCGATCCATGTCGCTGGCTTTGGGCTCTTTGTGAACAAATGAGACAAGGTGAGTAGCTACCCTGATCTTCCTGCCCTTGTTCCATGAGGAAGGGTTCTGGTGGCTGCAGCCCTGGTGTGTGGATCTTGGTCTCTTGGAAAACAATGGGACCCTTCCCCTTTGCCTTTAGGCTTGCCTGCCACTGGAGGAAGACCTAGACGATGTTTCTCTGGTGCCAGCAAAGCCCATCGAGGGGTTAGAAATAGTAGCATTGCTTGTGGAGGGAGAACAATCACTCCATTGTCAGATTTTTTTTTTTTCACTTTTCATCCAAACGCTGGCTGCTTTGTAGCACAGTTGGAGATACTGTGTTGAGGAGCCTTTGCTCATGGCAACGTTTCCTCTGTTCGCTTTCTGCTGCTTCTTGCGTTGGAAAATTCCATCCTTTAACACTGGGATTATATGTCACCATTGCTGAAATGATAGACAGAGTTCACTTAGTTTGCTGCAAGCATGAGAGACAGCCAGAGAGAATGGGAGAAGCGTAGCATTCCCTTGTATAAAGAGAGGATTGAACAAGGTCAGTGAACCAAAGAACCAGCAGGTCACAAACCCTCAGGGGGTCATGAAAATCTTCCCGGGTTTCTTGTCTTTAAGAGCAAAAATGATGCCTGTTTAGATTAAAAAAAAAATTTTTTTTAACGTATTTAAGATTGACCATGATAATTGAGCTGGAGAAGTATTTGAGGGCTCATTATTCTTGTTTCTGTACTTTGGCATGTTTTTGAACATTTTAATGATAGGAAGTTTTTAAGAAAGTATTTAAATACTTCTATCTTTCATTCCAGAATGATTCCAGAAGCACTGAGTGGGTATCAGATATCCATGCGTGGCAGGGACAGTGGCTTAACTGAACATGCTCGTGAATTGGCCTCGGTCAATTTAACTGAGCTGAACCCCCAAAGCTTCTAACCTGTTTACAGTTTCAAATGGCCTTTAGTCTTAGCCATATGTTCTTTGGTCCATATCTTGAATGGATCATTTGTTAGACACTAGAAGCATTAGCAACACAGATGCTGAAATTAGTGTTATTAATTCAGTAAATTGCCTGATGATAATCTTCTCTTTATCTGAAGATGATCTTTTTCTCATCAAAATCTATCCCTCTGAAGATGCCCCTGGACTTCAGAAACTAAGTGTTACAGAAAGAAAAGACAGTGACAGTTATGTCTAATTTTGGTTTTCATTGATAAAGAACCAATGATTGTATACAAGTGATTATAAATAGCAGAAAGTCGATTTTCTAAGCACAAAATAAGGAATTTCAGACATGAGGTCATGAAAGTGATTTTTGATGCCCCAATTCCTAATTAATTTCAACCTGTACTTTAATGTGAGCACCAAACAGCTAACACAAAATACTTCTTTTATTGACTTCCTCCCTGTATCTGGTGGCCTTGGAATTGTTATCATGATATTTGTTGTCTCATACTGTTTCCTAGTGACCTTTGGGCACAGAAATGGTAGAATTTTCTAGAAATAGGGCGTGTGGGCATCTTGTAAAGTTTATGGGTTTTAGACACACACTCCTGAAATTCTATGTTAATCCTCACATTCAATTAAAATTTTAAATATATTGAATATTAGAGTTTATACCAATAGGAGATTTATGATATACATGGATGAAATAGAAAATATTTTTTACTCCAGGTCTCTTCTTTTTATAATACCCTGTACTGGACATCTTCTGTGCATGTCTCTCACCTCCTGGCCCACCTTTGATGCCAGCAATTGCTGACAGGTGGACCCAGACAGTGCCTTGTTTCAGCTGCACCGTGTGTCTCTCTTTCAGCCCTGGGCTTCTCAGAGACTGTCTCCTGGTCTCCTGAACATGCCTGTACAATCTAGAAGTTGAATGGGAGTCGACACCCCATGAAAACAACCTTCCAAAAGGCAATTGAAGTCCATGGGATAATGCTTTCCTTTTTCTTCCCTCAGGCTGAAAATTCCAGTGTGCCTTCTACACAGCTTCTTAGAAGGATCCTCACAGGAGACGAGATGGATCACGTGGCCACCTTCTCTCCTTCTTTCTTTGCTTCACTCCCTCCTGTCCTTGACCCCTGTTTGCTGGGATCATGCTCCAAAATAACCTTCCTGTACCAAAGCCCTTGTCCCAAGCTCTGCTTTCTGTGAGGAACCCAGGCTGGACACTAGAATAATGTGCTAGAATTAAGACATGAATGTGGATGGCTAAGGGATTGGTTGGGTTGTATATCTCTATGGGTGGCATTCAAAGAGAAGTTTGGGAAACACTGGACCAGATGTCTGTTGGAATCAGAGCATGTAAAATGAGAATTGTCAGGTCCCCATTCTACTCTAACAGGTTTGTGGGTGTCTGAGTCTACCATGAAGAACAATAGAAGATCCCCAAGGCTTATCAAGCCTGTTCAACACCTGTGAGTAAGTATGACATCCAGGGGAAGCAGAGAGCAAAACAAAACCAAATGTTTCGCAAACATTCAGAGATCCTCCAATCTTGGGAGTCTTCTGCACTATTTCTGGATCTAATCCTAAAACTGCAAGTGATGCTGGCTTCTTCCAAGGAAATTGGTGACTCTAGGGCATGGTCTCTGCCTACAGGTAAAGGTGGAGGAGACCCACGGAGGGCCTCTTTGCTTTGCTCAGCTAGGTTATTGGCTGGACGCTCAGGATTCTGAAATCTATTTACCTCTCTGTAGCCTTTTTGTACTGTAGCATCTAGGCCAGTGGTTCTCAAAATGTGATCCCTGGGCAAGACCATCTTTTTCTGAAGGCAAATTTTCCACTAGGGGCAGGGTGGGGGGTGGGAGGAAACTAGAAATGCCATTTCTTGGGTCCCTCCCCAGATCTCCAGCAGTCTGTTCTGACAACCTTCCAGGTGATTCTGATGCTGGCTTAAGTTTGAGAACCACTTCCCTGGACTTTTTCCTTCTCATCCGGGTTTGTGTGCTTTGGGGCCTTCAATGTTGATTTCACACTCGTTCCCGGAGAATGAGCCCAGGAAACAAAAGACGCCTTGATTAGTCAGGAGGAGAAAAGAGGCTAGAACTGTGTAGGCAGCTACCCAGCTTATAAGCAGATCATATTCTGGACTTTGGAAGTCAGCTGTTTGGAATGTGAGCTGTTTTCCTAGGAATGGTAGAAAGGTTCCCACGCCAGCACACAAGGCATATTTAATCCTGAATCTAGCTGAAATACTGCTTTGTCACAATGAAAAAGAGCAGATCACAATGCTTCCGTAGTATTAGCAACCACTCAAAGCAGAAGAAAGTGATAAATGAAACACAGAGATAGTATTTTATTTTTGCTCATATTGGTGGGTTAAGGAAAGATGGATTTGGAGGCAGATGACGAGGTATACATGGGGATTTGTCAAGACTGAAGGAGTTGCTGGCCTTTCTCTTTAGAACGTCATGATACTAATTCCTTTAGTTCGAGTTACTTAAATGTGGTTCTGGACTGTTCCCCACCCCCCTTTTTTTTTGAAGGCAAGTTTCGCACTAGGAGAGTGTAAAGAATTCTGAGAAAGTTGGCAAGAGTTGAAAAGGAGAGCGGAAAGAGTAAGGGGATTAAAGAGAATGTGGGTGTGCTTTCTGTTAACGCCATCATCAACAGAGACAGAATTACCGACGGGGTCAGGATTCTCCCCCTGACAAAAGAGGAAAGAAAGCAGACAAAAACTGACTGCACAGTTGGTAAACCGATTTTCATTTTGATAAATATTTACGAATAAGTAGTTTCATATGAAAAAAAACAAAACAAAAAACACCTGACCACATGGTTTGAGAACTTTCTCTCTCATTGTATTGCCTTGAGACAATCACATTTCCCGTCCCTTGTCCCTTCTCTGACTGCAGATGGGCAACTGACCAGAGACCTTGACAGTGTCCACTGATGTGGCGTAAGAAGGTGATCTGGACCACGCTGATGTCCCCCTTCCTCCTCCTAGGCATCGAAGTAAGGAATGCCCAGAGCATTTGTTCAGTCTGCAATGGGAAGAGGTATATGGCTAGCCATGATCACTTTACATGTTTTCAAATCAAATGCTTCTAGCTAGGCTTTCTGTGGTGGCTAAAATCCTTTCTTCCTGGATTCGTGATGCATTTATTAACCATTCTATTTTTGTATCATATGAATTATCATCACTGATGGTTGAATGGCTGGATTTAGAGAAATGTGATAGCCCTAATGGAATTAATTAATTGAATAATATTGCCTGACAAATGGCTCTGTATACCAAAGAGGGCTTGAGACTTAATTACTGATGCCATTTATCTCTCTATTTGCACCCCAACAATAAGCGACTCGTTTCTCATTAACGTTGGGTCATTTTCCAAAAGGAAGAAAAGAGGCCAAAATATCAGGAAGGGGAAAAAAAATCGATGTCTTTGTTCCCCACCTCATTATCCTGATAAATCATAACAGACTCTGTTAATTAGATGGGCAGCCTTAACTGGCTGACTCCTGTCCAACAATTACCTCAGAAAGAAGCACCACTGGGAACATTGCCTTCCCTTGGGAGGAGATGAAAGGAAGTCTGTAACAAAAAAAGGGATCGTTTCCCCAGCCATGCTGGGGGGGTCACAGTTGTCAAGGCAAATTTTGAGACCGAAGGGCGGAACCCATTTCAGGGACAGTGCCTGTGCATTATGGTGCCACGGGGTATCTGACACTGCCTTCCTAATCTAAGGCTTAGGTGATGGTGCTCGGTGCCTCCAACTCTCCTGGGGAGATTAGAGCCTAATTAAAACGGGGGAACAGGTGTAAGAGGGCCTGATTTGATCTGGCCAAATTAATTGCTGAGATTGGGCTTGCATTTGGTAACTGGAAACAGTGAATTAACTATCACCGGAATACAGCTAATCCCTCGGTCTCACCGCGACTGTGTATACAACAGACTGAACTTGCTGGGAACACAAACACAGAGGGATTTGAAGTGAAGGTACGACGCATCCCTGTATAGGAAAGGCTGGACAGTGAGCCTAGCCACAGAGGGTGGCCATACATCTCAGACTGCCTGCCTGGGATAGTGCTGGTTTATGCCTCTTGTCCCTGCAAAATTATTAATAGTGCCCCTTTCCATTCTCAAAAAAAGAAAAAAATGTCCCTGCTTGGACAATAACTTAAATGGTTACTGTATTTCAATGTCAATTTCAAGCTACTTTTTTTTTTCTTTACCAGAAGAGGGGTGTTATAGGTTGGAACTGCATTCCCCCCAAAGGTATCAAAGTCCTAACCCTCAATACCTATGAAAGTGAACTTATTTGGAAATTAGGGTCTTTGCAGATGATTAAGTTAAGATGAGGTTATTAGGGTGACCTCTGATCCAATATGACTGGTGTCGTTGGTAAAAGGGATATTGGAATATCTGGACACAGAGGCACACAATGCACATAGGGAGAACACCATGTGACGATGGGGCAGAGATGGACAGGGTGCTTCCACAAGCCCAGGGGTGCCAAGGATTACCAGCAAACCAGGAAAAGCTGAAAGAGAGGCCGGGAATAGATCCTTCCTCACAGCCCTCAGAAGGAACCAACACCGTGGACACCTTGATCTCAAGACTCCCGCCTCTAGAACTACGACCCAGAACGTTTCTGTTGTTTTAAGCCGCCCATTTGTGGCGTTTGTTATGGCTGCCCTAGTGAACTCATTCAAGTGGGTGCTGGTTTCCAAGTGTCTGAAAACACGCTATGGCTCTTAGCTTGTACAGTTCACAAAAATGAGCTCTGTTGCTGGCAAAGACGGGTACCAGGCTGGCGTGAGAAGTCGTCAGTAGGGGAATCGACACTGATTTCTCAGTGCCAGTGCTGGGTGTGGGGTGAGGGAGACAGACGTGGTTCCTGGCGTCCAGGAGCCAGCAGTTTGGTGGGAAGGGAGGCAGTGCAGATGACCTTGTATTTAATTAGTTAGATGAGAATATGTATCGACTAAGCAGAGGGAGGGAAGCCCATCCCAGGGCTGGAAAGAAAACGTCTCCTCTAGAAAGGGACTTCTAAGCTGACCTGGTAAGCAAGGGTTACTTGGATGAAAAGAAATGAGGGTTTAGGGGGAGCATGTGTGGAGGCTCTAGGGCAAGAGGGAGCCTGAAGTGTATGCTGCATACCCAGAGAAATCCAACTGCAGGAGCAGAGAGATAAACCAGGTGAAGTCTGGGTCTGCATCTCAGCCATCATCACCTCATTGATGAGAGGTTTAAAGACACATCAGGTCCCAGACCCTGCACTAGGGGCTGGGGGATTCCAGTGGTGGAGACTAACGGGCAGGCTGCCAATCAAGCAGTTGATGGCCCAGGGCTGGGAGAACAGGTAGGAACAGCCAGAGGGAACAAAGCCACCTCTTCTGTCCGGAGAATTCCTCTGAGGTGAGTCTTGAGGAAAAGCTATATGCAGTACCAAGGGGGGGGGGGGGGGGCGGGGCGCGGAGATGGGAGACACCGAAAATGTTTATCCCTGGTTCAAGAAGAAGGGGACCCATTGGTCCCTGAGTTCTCTGGCCAATAGTTTTCACATGACCAGACTTGGAGAGTTCACATGTTCTGCCCAGAAGCACTAATTCTTTCTAAGTGTCTAATGTGATTCTCTTTCCCTGAAGCAGAATTTGGATTGCTCCTTGTCTAGGTTTCCGAACATTCTACAGAAAGCCTTTGTGATGGCCTCTTGCTCTGGAGGTGCCAGTGCCCCACATCCTTAGACCTTGGTTCTCAGGACCTACCAAGATGATGCCATCTTGGATTTGGGTTTCTATCTCCTTGGCCAGAGTCGGAGGCAATAATGAAATCAATAGACTCAATCCATACTGTGCATAGGGTTTTGAACTCTAGGTTTGGAGGTTCTCAGGTGCAACCCAATCAAAAGGGGCCATTAACAGTGCCATTTGAGAGATGGATTTCTAGGTTGGATGTTTGTCTTCTCTAGTTGACTTCAATTATCTGTCTCTGGTGGGCCCAGGACAAAAAGTTTTGGTCAGGCAAAACTGGGCTCTGGTTTTGTAGGCATGGCATTCATTATGTAAGCGTACAGGTCGGCGTTTCAGAATGAAAAATAACAATAATAATTAAAGTTTCTCTAGGCTTCTTGTGTCCAAACCACTCTTGCAAAACCACCTTTGGATGAGCTTTAAGTGTCAGCAAATCAGAAACATGTGGATTTAATTTCCTTTGAAATACACCAGGGGGACGAGGGGCAACAGGGCTTGGCAACCAGCTTCTTAGGGTTTGCCAAACCCCAAATATCTCACACTTGGTAAGAACCGTCCTGCTGCCCCTGCCACCCCCCACCCCCCACCCCGCAGTCTTATCTGGCCAGCCCGCCACTACATTTCTTTCTGTCCCAACTAGGTTTTCTCTAACCATTAGGCTGTTCCCTTGGTCCATTTCAGCTGCCAGAAGGATGCTATTAATACCACCCACATGCGTAACAGAACCTTGGAAGAGGGCCAGGCTGCAGTGAGGTGTCAGGTTGGCTCTAGTCTTATCTGGACGAACAGGCCATATTTGCAGCCATGACTGTATCTTTAAAACCCCAACCCACCATGAGAGAGCTTTTTCCAACTTGACTTCTATATGGGAAAATATTTTGCTTTTATGGTGGATGATGGTATCAGGCCCCAAATATATTAGGTTTCATGACCATCCAACTCTCACGCATATAATATGAAACAGGTCCATACTCTGCAAAGACCACATCCACCCCACCATTAGGTTCCAAGGTAAATATGGGCCCACAAACCTCCTGGGGAAATAGAGAAGAAGTTTCCTTAAAGGAGAGGAACCACACAGTCGGGCAGTTTGTGATGCCTCTCCGAAACCCCCAGTTCCTGGTCTACTGTAATCAAAGAGTAAGGATGTGCTGATTGATGGGTCTTTGTTGTTCTCTGGTCCATTGTTTTTCCTTCTTGATATTAATGCCTCTCTTGTCCGTCTTCTATTTTCTATGTCCGGTATCTCTTTTGCCTTAAATAACAATGTACGGGCGCCTGGGTGGCTCAGTTGGTTAAGCAACTGCCTTCGGCTCAGGTCATGCTCCCAGGGTCCTGGGATCGAGTCCCACATGGGGCTTCCGGCTCAGCGGGGAGCCTGCTTCTCCCTCCGACCCTCTCCCCTCTCCCCTCTCATGCTGTTTCTCTCCCGCTCACTCTCTAATAAATAAATAAATAAATAGATAGATAGATAGATAGATAGATAAATAAATAAATAAATAAAAATCTTAAAAAAAAATAACAATGTACACTTACTGCAAAGGGCACGCTGAACCTTAAAAAAAGTACTTTTCACACCTGAAAACAACTAATGATTTGGTGCCTATATGTCATATATTTACATCCGCTGACTCTTTTGTTACCCTCACCTTCCCCAAGAGGCAACTGAGGCAGCCCCAGAGAGACAGCGTAACCTACACATCACACAACTAGTGTCAGCTGCACCTTGACCTTGGGCTGGTGGGCTCCAGACATGGCTACGTTCTCCAGAATTTCCAGTACATGATGCTGCCTCCTACTCCATTGTGGTGGTTCATTTTAATGTGTCAACGTGACTGCCCAGATATTTGTCAAACATTATTCTGAGTGTTTTCATGGAGGGTATTTTGGGAGGAGATTAACACTTCAATTGTTAGACTGGGTAAAGCAGATTCTCCTCCACCTTGTAGTGTGTGGAAACCTCATCCAATCAGTTGAAGGCTTGACTAGAACAAAAAGACTGGCTCTCCCTTGAGTAAGAGATACTTCTCTTGCCTGTCCTATTGAGCTGGGATGTTGGCTTTCCCCTGCTTGGACTTGAACCGAAATATCAGCTCTTCTGGGCCTACTGTCGAGCCTACTGGCCTTGCGTTAGAACTTCACAACGGGCTCTCCTGGTTCTCAGGCCTTTGGAGTTGGACTGGAAATAAACCATTGGCTCCCTCGAGTGTCTAGCTGGCCAACTCACCCTGCAGATCTTAGGACTTGCCAGCTTACACAGTGGCATGAGCCAGTTCCTTACAATATCTCTGTCTCTGTCTGTCTGTCTCTCTCTCTATCTCTATTTATCCTATGCCTTGTTTTCCTGGAGAACCCTGATGCAACCATTTCTTATTTAATCTGCCAGGCAGTCCTGTGAAGGTGATGGATCATCGTTGCTTGCCAGATGAGGAAAAACCTAGAATATGTTCCTTTTATATACGCACATGTACCTGCATAGACACATGACTTCAGGACTAAGAGCAGAATCCAGGCCCATGCATTCCTTATTCAGTGCTGCTTCCCCAAGCCATCCACAGGGCAGCCACAGATGACATCGTTAGGTTATTTTTAGGGTCATTCATCGCCAGACCTTCTCACAGAAAAATCTGTCTTGACTATCAGGTGACAGAGGAACCACTGCTGTTTTGTTTGTTCTTCAGATTCCACATTGTAAATTCCAGCTACAAAAACACAATGCAGTAAGGAAGGAATCGACCATGCAAGTTCCCACCTGGAAGCAGTGAATGTAGGGAATGGATCCTTGAGGGTAGCATTACCTCTGAACAATTGGGTGATGAGCAGGCCACCGGGATTTCTGGCTAGTAGAATTTGTGTGCAAGCAAGGGCAAAAATCGTATTATCTATCTCATGTAAATGCCACGGCCATTCAGTGGGTCGAGACTATTGACACTTATCCTAGCGGTTTACTTTTCAAGCCTTTCTCTTTGTTAAAGCCACCCCACCCTTCAGAAGAAGTCACGTTCTCTACCCCTACCCCACTCCCTGCCTCTTGCTTTTACAGTATCCACCATGGCAATCCGGGGCAACAGCTGAGCTAGTAAACGCTGAAGGCATGTCCTGACTGTCCCCTGAAAGCCAGGGGGGGTTGGTGAAGGAACGCTTCTCTCCACTTACATCTTCACCTGCTCTTGCCAAGTGGTCAGAAGCTCAGGAGGTGGTGGCCGTGGACTTCTACTGCTGTGTCCAAGCAGCAGAGAGGAATTCTGTGCTGGGCTTCAGCAACCACGGGACCCCTGCAGCATCCTCTGAGCCTCCCCGCTCTCCAGCCTCCCACCCTGAGCTGTTTCATGTTGAAAGCGGGTGGGGGCACCGGTGCCTCCCCTTGAGGCACACACCT